TTAGAATACCTCACAAAAAGAAACATTGCCCAGTTAATTTTATGAGGCCACAGTTACCCTAATGCTCAAAACACATAAAGGTCCAACAAAGAGAATTACAGAACAATTTTCCTTACGAACATAGATCTAAAAATAATAAAATACTTGCATACCAAACCCAAGAACACATCAAAAAGATCATCCACCATGATCAAGTAGGCTTCATCCAAGAGATGTAGGTAGGGATGGTTCACTATACATAAATCACCATGTAGTCCACCGTATAAGCAAACTGAAAGACAGAAACCACATGATCATCTCATTAAATGCAGAAAATACCTTTGACAAAATCTAACACTGCTTGATATAAAAGCCCTGGAGCAATTAGTGATACAAGGGACACACCTCATCATAAAAAAGACAGTTTATAGCAAGCCCATAACTAACATAACTTAAATGGAGAGAAACTCAAAGCAATTTCATTAAAAGCAGAAACAGGATGACAATGTTGTCCACTCTTTCCATATTTATTCAGTATAGTACTTGGAATCTTAGCTAGAGCAGCTAAGACAACTGAAGTATATCAAGTGGAGACAAATGGAAAGAAAGATGTCAAAGAATCTTTAGTTGTAGATGACATGATAGTATACTTAAGTGACCCTAAAAATTCCACCAGGAAACTCCTGCAGCTGAAAAATACTTTTAGCGAAGTAGCTGTATAAGAAGTTAGCTCACAAAAATCAGTGGCCCTTCCATATTCAAATGACAAGTGGACTGAGAAAGAAATCAGGGATACAACACCCTTCACAATAGCCACAAATAGTTTCAAATATCAAGGGCAACGTTAACAAAGCAAGTAAAAAAGACTTATATGATAAAAATTTTAAGATATTGAATAAAGAAATCGTCAAGGATATCAGAAGATAGATCTCCCATGCTCATGGATTGGTAGGATTATCATAGTAAAAAATGGCTATCCTACCAAGGCAGTTTACAAAGTCAGTGAAATCCATTAAAATCTTAATACGCTCTTCACAGATCTTGAAAGGACAATTTTCAGCTTCATATGGAAACAGAAAACACCCAGGATAGCTAAACAATCTAGAATAATAAAAGAACTGCTTTAAAAGCAGTATCACCATCCATAAGCTATAGTACAGAGCTGTAGTAAACTTGGCATGGCATTAACATAAAAACAGACACATTGATCATTGGAATTGTATTGAAGATCCAAACATGAATCCATACACCTATGGACACCTGTTTTTTTTTTTTTTTTTTTTTTTATGAAGAAGCCAGCAATAATCATAGGAAGAAAGGATAATAGCTTCAACAAGTGGTGCTACCAAACTGGGTATCGTCAGTAGAAGAATCTAAATAGGTCTATACTCATCACCCTAAGAATTCAACCCTAAATGGACCAAAGACCTCAACATAAATCCAGACACACTGAATCTGATAGAAGAGAAAATGGAGAATAACTTTGAACTCATTGGCTCAGGAAAAGACTGAACAGAACACTGTTAGCACAGCCACTAAGATCAGTAATTAAAAATGGGACCTCATGAAACTGAAAAGCTTCCATAGGCAAAGGACACTGTCATTTACACAAAGCAGCAGCCTACAGAATAAGAAAAGTTTTTTTTTTAACCAATGACATATCTAATAGAGGGCTATTATATCAAAATATATATCCAAGATATATAAACTCAAAATATCAAAAATATAAACTCAAAAACTAGATTTCAAGATAACAAATAACCAATTAAAGTAGCCCACAGATGTAAATAGAGAATTTTCAAAAGAGAAAAAAGTAATTAAAGAAATATTCAATATCCTTATTCATCAGGGAAATGCAAATCAAGACTTTTGAGATTTCATTTTACACCTATCAGAATGGCTAAGTTCCATAAAAGAAATGACAGATCATGCTGGCGAGAATGTGGAGCACTCATTCATTGCTGATGGGAGTGCCAGCTTCTGCAGCCACTATGGAAATCAGCATGGCAGTTCTGTAGGAAGAAAGGAATCTATCTACCTCAAGACCCAGCTACCACTCTTGGGCATATATACCCAAAGGATGCTTTGTCCTACCACAGAGACACTTGCTCAACCATGTGCATTGTTGCTGTATTCATGATAACCAGAAATGGGAAGCAATCTAGATTTCTGTGAACAGAAGAGTGGATAAAGAAAATGTGATATACTTACAAAATGGAATATTATTCAGCCATTCAAAAATGAGATCCTGAAATTGACATGAAAATGGATGGAACTAGAAAAAGTCATTCTGAGGAAGGTGATCCAGAGCAAGAAAGACAAATATAGTGTATATTCGCTTACATGTGAATATTAACTGTTAAGGATATGATAGCCAAGCTATATAACCAAGTCTGTGGAAGCACAGAGGTTGGATATACAGTAAGGGTCTTGGGCAAGGGCTGATAGATCTCATTAGGAAAGGGAAATAAAGTAGTTATCGATGGATGGAGGTGGGAGATAGGGATGGAAAGGTGGAGGGAAGAGGACAAGGGAGGGAATATGGGAAGAGACAGAATTAAGGACCATGGGGGGGTATGTGGAAACCTAATGCAGTAGAGCTTCCTCAAGTATACAATGATTATCTAAATGAAATCCCCAAATAATGGAGAAGCAGCCCCAACTTGTCATCACTTTTCACCAGATGAAGATTCCAGTACTGGAATTGGTTACATCTAATTGAGCTGTTGGTCAAAGGGGTCTATTGCCAAGACTATAGGTTGTTTTCCACAAATCGATGGCAAGGCTCTATTGCTTCAGACATGCCTACTCCTTGAACATGGAGAAGTTGAACTGGTGTCATGTTGGCTTCCCCCCCCCCCCCACATTTATTTTAACATGCTTCTCTTCTTACCATTGCATCTGTGTTATGACTTCCAGTTTAGTATTTTATGGGATTCCTGAGTGCAAATGAGTGGGTTTCTAATTCCTGCACCGCCTTCTTGAGCTCTTCTGTTTGTTTCTTTTTTCTTTATTACGATGTATTAGTTTTTATTTTATTTTATTTTATTTTACTGTTATCCCCTAGAAGCCTATTTGTTTTGTAATGAGAGACAGAAAGAGAGTGGATCTAAATTGGAGGGGAAATAGGGAGGAACTGGGAGGAGTAGACACAGGGAAAACTGTAATGAAGATATATGAGAAGAAAAGAAAATCTGTTTTCAATAAAAGGAAAAACAACAACAGCAACTAACCACCACAGTGCCTCTTCAGAAACCCAGTGCTGTATTGCTCTTGTCACCAAGAGTATTTACCACAGCTGTGAGGCTTTGAGGAAGCAAATGCAAGTTCCCTGGTCCTTCTGACATTTTCCTCCTGGTTCTGAGCTGAAGGGCAGAGACTGACATGATTCCTGATTTAAAACTTAAAATATCTATGGGAAGCATAGAGTATGTGTGATTAAATTAATTCAGTACCCTTGAAGGTCTTATTTTCTTATACACGTTTAGAATTATCCCCGGATCAGCAAAAACATCTCAGAACTTGCTATTTTTTAACTGAAGTAATGAATAATGAGACAAGATTGTTTTATCTAAAGTAAAAGCATTTGAATGTCCAGGGTGGTAAACTTTTGAACTCTGGTGTTAACTGTTGAAAACATGTGCATTAACATATATTGGATGATGTTTTGGTCATAAAAATTATCACCAAAGGATATAAGCTTTTTATGTAAAGGATCAGAAATTTGAAATGCCTTGTGGGGGTTTTATGAAAACTCAAACCGCGTCAAACTGAGAAATGGTATCACTCATGTTTGTGCACTCCGGTTGACCAAGTTTCGTCTGCTTGGTTTTTGTTTTGTTTTTTTATGTATGTCATTTTTAAATGTTGTCTGTTCTCAACGCGAGGAACCATCCATCCTATGTTCTTCTGGGGTGCTAGGGAGGGCCATGCAGCCAACAGTTGCAGTAGCAAATCTAACTGAAATGAAAACCTCCACTATCCTAAGCCTTTCTGTTACTGTCTTTTCTCTTTTTCCTATTTGTGTTGCCACTGCAAGCCAATAGCTGGTGCCATTTTCAGCTATTAGAACTGTTAGAACAAGTCACCTTTCCACATGGAAGCAATAGAGGTGCCGGCCAGAGTTGTCTGCATTATTTTGCTGTTGTACGTTGACGGGTAGTTGGTGTTTTGTTTTCTGGGAAGGCATGTGAGCGTGCCTCACTCTATTTTAACCTGGTACCTGGGGATCGGAGAACTTGTGAGCTGCAGCCGTGTACTCTGGATGGAGAAGTACATGGCCAAATTAATGGAGAACACAAGGTGATTCCTTGCAGCAGACACTGTGGGAAGTGGAAACCGGACACTGAGCTAGAGGCCACTGCCCTTCAGAGGTGATTGAGACAGCCCAGCATCTCTCTACTTCATATAAAGCTTTTCATCTTAAAGTTCATGTCCTAATACACGACAGTTGAGTTAAATTGTCTGTGATATTCAACACAACACTGAACTGTGTATGCCTGAGAGAAGGAAGAGCAGACTCACATTTCCTTTCTAAAGTGGAAACAGCCCTGAGTGCAGACCATTCTAAAATCTGATATTTACACAGAATTGTAAGACATCAAATTCTTTTATTTGGAACGAACACTGGCCCGAGTTACTAGAAAGCTCATACCACTGAGTGTGCACACTCACAGGCCAGAAAAGAAAAACTTTCCAACACCCAATTTTAACATTGTGCTAAAGTCATTTACTGTTAAAACTCTGAAGTTAAATATGATCCCTTCCCCTCTCCCCACCCCTTCTCTCTTAGGTTAGTGTTTGGGGGACAGGCAAGGGGCTGGGGATTGGTCCCAACTTGGAATTGCTGCCAAGGGCTCGTAATACAATCTCTCCCATTTGAAGGGTAAATCAGTGTCAACTGCGTTTGCTGTCCAGCAGAAAAAAAAGTAAGCATTTTACTTCCGCTCGGTCCGTGTGGACTGATGAAATGTAGGAAATCTGTTTCTGGCGAGTGGGATTAAAATCATTTTCCCAAACAGCACCAAGAGGAGCCATCACAGAAGTATGAAGAGGGGCGGCGCGGACACAGCTGCCGCCAAGGTGCTGCTGTGCTGCAGGAAGCCAGAGGCCACAGGACCTGTGTCTGGAGAAGTCACAGGGGCGCAGCCGGGAGCGCCTGCGCTGCTGAGCTGCTGCTGCTGAGCTGCAGGGAGCAGTGGGCTCGACTTGGTGAGCACGCAGGGGTGTGTGTGTGTGGGGGGCAACCAGGAGGGGCCCCAGCTGAGCTACTGCAGGAGGGCGCGGGGGGGAGGGGCCTGGAAGCAGCCCGAGGGTGAGTGCTGCTCATAGCCGCTCATTGCAGTGTGTGGGATCTCCTGATGCCCTGGAAACAGCTTCCATCCCACTATCGCTATTGTTGAGCAGCGCCAGAAGCCCTCTGGGACAGCGCAGCCAACCAGGGGCGGAAGTGAGAAAGTCTCAGCGCGAGGACATAAATGTACACATGCGTGATGCTCAAGCAAGCCTGTAATGCCCTTCTCTGTGGTTATGGGGGGGGGGGAGCGAAGGGACTTGGGTTGCTTGTCTGTCTTAGTTGCACTTGCTGAGGGTTTGAGGTTTGATTTAATGGGAGCGAAGAAGAAGAAGAGGTTGTGATGTAATTTGGGGTGACTTTGTGAACGAGTTGGGTTGAATTGAACCTTCTTACAAGTATGAACAAATGCTAATTTATCCATACATTTATATTTCGATGTGATATTTCATTTTAGCCCAGCCCGAGATGACTGAAATCTGAACCTATTTAGGGAACAAAGGAGCCAAGGTTTCTTTGGAGGTGTTAATTAGCCCTGGCAAAATTAAGTTTTATCAACTCTGTAACTGATTGATTGGCCCAGACATTTCGAGTTCCTAATGTGCGAGCAAGCTCAGTTCCTAGCATTCTGTTTTCTGTATTCCAATACACATGAAGGTGGGGTCGATTTTTCTTCCAGTTTACTATTTTTTTAATCATAGTCTTTGATTTTTCTATCTTCTTTATCTTCAATTTTTTTTTAAATTAACTTTCCACCTACTATCCCAAACCTCTCCAACAAAGCTTGACGAGTTGTGCACACGAGATGTTATGCAGAGGAAATAAGACCTACATGTTCAGAGGGACACCCATCTGGCCTTTCGGTGTTAAATAAAGGCTCAGACAAGTTGGGAGTATCCGCCAGGCACAGGAAGTCCTCCTTCCCTTTCCACCTGTCCCAAGAGACTCTGAGAGGCAGGGCTGAGAACAAACCCTGTGCTCATTGCTGCTTCCCCCTACCTCTTAGTCTTTGCTCATAACTACAGCTCACATCTGATTTGCCTGGCTTGTCTTTGGCATAGATCAATGAGCCCTTCTTCAAGGAATGCCCTACTCTAGCTGTGGAGAGTGTGGTGGTGGTCCTTTCCAATATGGGTGTTCAGGTTCTGACTGCTTAAGAGAAGGTAAGAGCCAGAGGAACTAAGACTGAGGTGCTTTGCCTTGACCATGCCCAGCGGAGCCTGTGCTGAGAGCTGTCTGAGAAGTTTCTAACCAGGAAAGGTAGTTTGGGTTTTGACCCTGTGCATCTGAGCTGTAGGTGTATCTCTTCACTTTTTTTATCGATAAGTATCGAACTCTGTGCTGTGGATTGTGGTTTGCTGGGACATAAATTCATATGGCAGAATTCACAAGAGCCGAAGGACTTGTGATGCCTATCGAGTTTTCTAGCATCCTGGTGCCAAGCCTTAGTTAAACTTAGAGCTTGAAGGTGTGGTAAAACCTCAGGACTTCATTTAACCTGCAGCCACATGCCGTTTAGAACTTGGAGACTGGAGGTCAGCAGTGCAGGTCCGGGGAGCTCTGAAGACCTACGCTGCTTAAAACAACTGCTGTGTTTCTAACAACATATTTCCAGGATTTTTTTTTTTAGTTTCTGCAGAAATTATAACATTGCTTTTGTGGTTTCTTCCGCTTTCTTGAATTGCTACTGAAGTTTTCCTCTCAGTGTTGTTAGACTAGAGGAAAGAACAAGCGAGAAAGTAGAAATAGCTCTTGTAAAGGTGGGTGAAGGTACTTGGAAACTCCGTATATCAAAGTTTTCAGGGGCCATTCGACTGAGATTTTTTGTTGTTTTCTCTTTACATGAAGAATCTATCTATCTATAGTCTATCTATCTATCTTGCACATATATAACATATATTGCACATATATTGCATATATATCTGAATAGAATGCTGAATTCTGATATTTCATTCCTGTATTTGAGTTAAAATATAATTTTTGTTTTATGAACAAAACATAAATGTTCTTATGAATTAAGGCTTACCAAATCAATTTACATAGACTTTTGATATGAGCCATTACAATTTCCAGTTAGTGACTTTAGATGTTTTTCTACTCAAATCGTGTCTCAATTTAATCTGGCAGAATTCTAAAAGTCTGCGGTTCACTGTTTGGGAGAATGGTTTAGTAGGGTTTTGAGACCGGTGACTTAACAAAAAAATCTCAAGTGGCAGAAATAGTTTGTCTTGAGAAAGAGATGTGTGTGTGTGTGTGTGTTTAATCATTTCATCCAAGATAAGTCACCGTGGGGCTGTCAATAAGAAAGAGATGCCCAAAGAGTTAAAAACATAGTCTATGTACAAGGAGGTACAGAGATTTAATGACTGTGTGAATATCCCATTACTTTAGGCAAAATATCTTCCTAGGCTCCCAGTCCCTTAGGAATATATGAGAATTCTCCTGTGCAGATTTTTCAAGGGCCTTTTGAGTCTAGTCTCCAGTTACTTAATTAAAGTTGTTACTTTGCTTAATATTTGCTGAATTTATATTAGATTTAGTCACTTGACAGAGGTTATAGTGTCATTACAAGATCTGAAACTGCATTTATGATTAAATTGTGGACTTTATTTTCTGATTAGCCCTTTTAATGAGGTTTCACATTCATAACTTGGAATAGGAGTACAGACATGTAATCCCAGCACTTGGGAGGTTGATGCAGGAGTACTTAAATTTTAGGCCAAGCTGGTGGACTACATAATGAGTTGGTGTAGACTGGACTATATAGTCAAACCAAATTAAACCACCAACCAATTGCATAACACTAGTATTCTAATGAGAGACAGAAAAGGAGTGGATCTGAACCAGAGGGGAGGTGGGGAGGAACTGGGAGGAGTAGAAGTAAGGGAATTCATAATCAGATTTTATTACATGAGGAAAAAATTCTGTTTTTAATAGAAGGGGAAAATAGTAACAGCAAACATTTTGCATTCTGAACATTGGTTCAGGATCTACATTTTGCAGAGATATTACTGGTTGGTCAAAATAAGTCACATGACAATAAAGTTTTCAGGAAATGGTACAAATCATCTTTGGACTTTCATTCTTTGAGTCCATTTCAAAAATGACATTTTGTCCTGCTAGATTTTGGAAGAGTTTTCGGATTGATGCATTCATTTTGTTTTTCATTTTAAAAGACAGTCTTAATGACCTATAATCTTTGTTTCTGTCTTTAACACATAAAATTTCATGGTTAAAAGAGAGGTCAACATTGCAGAAGTGAGTCAAGTTTGCTTTTAAAGGCAGGACTCTTGATTGCACATTCATTGGGCCTCACTACTTTTGGTGGCCTTTCGTAAAGGAGATGAGAGGGGTGGAGGGAGGGAGAGACAGAAAGGAGATTTGGGTAATATCTGTAACCATCTATTTGTTTCAATGAGCTTTGAATATTGTATTATTAATTACTTATTATTAATAGCTTATGATCCTTAACTATATCAAATTGCAATATTCTTTGTTATCATTATTAACCCTATATACTTATTTTACTGCTTAATAATTGGCATATAAGCTTGGGTACAACTTCCTCAACATAAGGATCTTTAATGACAAGCTGACATTTCCAACTCTTCTATCTTTTCATAATAATGATTGAGAGTTATATGGCAAAATTGCATTTTGTTACAGAAGGTCTTTCCAAAATAAGTCATTGGTTGTTTTATTTCTATATGTGATGGTGATGATTTAGATTGCATATAAAATGCATTGATATTAAAATATTTGCCAAGTAATGTCACAAATGTTGAATCTTCCCAGTTATCTTTGAAATGGTCTTGTCCACAGTACACAGTGAACAACTCAGATAAAAAGAGAAAACTTCTATGGTATGTACAGTTCCTAAATGGTTAAGCTATGGAGCCATTATTTCACCTTAGAATGTTGGATTTCATCTTTTTCATTCTATTCATTTATCAGTCTATTAGTCTTGCTTTTGTGGAATCTCACAAAAGACAAGAGTAGTAAAATCTTTTATTTTTGCTTTTGTTTTTTTCCTTCTTTATAATTCATATTCCATATAATACTGAAGTATGTTTCTTTCTGTCATGCCAGCCTTCTAGAGATGGGAGAAAGCATTTTGCCCACAATCAAAGCAAGCCCCTTGGAGGCATGGACAGCTGCATTCTGAGGCAATGGGCCAGACAGTCTTTAGAAGTGGTGCTTTACTTTCAGGCTTGTGAGCTTCTTCTTCCTTTGGGTTGTCCAAGCCTCAGCACATCCACAACCGCTACACCAGAGTCACCTTTACTACAGAAAGAAAGGGAAAATACACAGTCTTTGAAGGATTTTGCATATGTTTTGCCCTTTAAGATTGATTTTTATGCATTCCAGGTCTTTACAGTTCAGTTACTCATAGAAAGCTTGTAGAAGTTCCAATTTAGTGAATTGTTCACGAGTATCACACATTTGAGGTCTCAGTCTTTCCAATTGATTGTGTTCAATACTTGACAGAGTAGTTGTTTGGCCATTTAGACTATTTGGATTACATAAATTTTGTTGAGAATATCTTTCAGTGTTAAGCTATGAAAACTTTTTCTCCTTATCCTGACTTTTCTGTTCAGTAGTCTGCGAAACTTTAAATGCATTCCAAAGAACTGGAATGATCTTTTCCCTAGTTTTTCTTTAGGATATAATGCAGTTCATCTAGGTACACTCAATATTTATTATAAATTATAAAAGGATCAAATTCCTAAGTTATCTTTTTATTTAACTGTTATGAACTTTTAAACTTTTTAAAGTTGAACTAAATTAGATTTACTAAGTGATTCATATCTTTATTTTTTAATTTTTATCATCTATTAATTATATAGCTACTATGTTTAATATACTTTGATCACCTCAATCTTCCTATTATCATCTCCTTTATCTCCCTTCCATTTGTCCTCTTGTACCTCCAAGTCCCCCTTCTACTGTCATTAACTCTAGTCTTTCCTTTTCCTTCCCTCCTTCCTTTCTTCCTTCCCTCCCCTCCCCCTATGTGCTTTCTTGCATTCATTCATTTCTTCCTTCCAGCTCAGTCATTTCAGTGAGAGTCTACTTCACCATGCAGTGAATTCCTCAGATTCTATATTTTCTTCCTTCTAGCTGGATCCATTTCTTCTTCCTATCCGATTCCAGCAAATTGTTCTTTGTTCTGTGCTGTTCCCCCTCCCCCGACAGAGTCTCTCTGTGTAGCTCTCTGACTGTCCTGGAACTCACTCTTTAGACCAGGCTGGCCTCAAACTCACAGAAATCCACCTGCCTCTGCCTCCTGAGTGCTGGAGTTAAAGGTGTGTGCCATCATCTCCTGGCTCAATTTCAGCCAATTCTAAGGCCTGAATATAGAGACTTTAAGGAAACCCACTGAGTTGTGCTCAATATAGTGATGGTTTTAAGTATAAATAATGGAACAAGAGAAAACAGGTTGCCCATCTTTCTTTTTTTTAGAGAGGACTTAGACAAGTCTTGGCTGTTAAAATATCCTTGTGTCTCTCTGTGTTTATCATAGTTTAAGTCTTTTAACCTTTATAGTATTTGAGTTACCCTTAAGCCTTCTTTCTCTCACATTGGCCTCTGGAAAAAATCTGACCTTATTTTAATTGTCATCTCTACTAAAATTGTGGTTATGTACAAAATATCAAAATAAAACTAGCTTAGTTATCTTTATTCTTTTTAGTGATTCATCAATTCATATTAGGAGATAGTTCGGATTACATTTCTGGTGAAACGCAAGAGCGGTTGCATGGGAAATAAAGGTGCAACTGTCAAGGAAAATAACAACTTCACTGTTGAGAACTGCTGAGGGGAAGGATTGTGTCCCTCTGACTCACTGGAACTGTGACATGCCATTAGGCTCACTGTAAGCGATCCCCTGGTGGATTCTGCGCTGGACAATGAGCTTCAGAACCTGAGGCGTCTTCTTGCCTTTGTAGAGCGACACAGGGCTCTGAAGCTTCAGTGGGAGTCACAGGGCACACAATAGGGCGGAGGTAGAGTTACTGTGAGACTGTATCTCACTTTCAGGGAAGTGGTGGGAGAGATTGTGTCTTGAGAAGGAGGCATTTTGGAGGTAACCCTTTTAAGGTTTCAATTAGTTATTTAGGTGTCTGACTCTTTTGCTTAGATATATGATTGGTTACATGCATGTTGACAGGCTAGCCATCCTGTAAGATCCTGATTAGCTACAGACAGAGGTATTGATTTGCTGTTAATGAGCATAGTTTTAAAAGAATTGGGATTGAAAATATTTCAGGTGTTTTTGATGTTAAAACACAGAAGTTTAGAGAAACTCTGATGGTGGTATTAACCGGGAGAGGGTAAACAACAGCAAAATTCCAACTCTTACTTTAACAAACTTGGAGCCCATGACAAGGTGTAATAAACACAGATTAACTTCCTAATGCTTCATTTCAGATATCTAGGGAATAGCAAAAGAGTAAGTGCAACTGTATCTTTCAGTTGTGTATGAATTATATACTTTATGTATTTACTACCTCTCCCAACAAAATTGTGTTTTCTACGATTTTGGAGATAACCACATTTTGAATTAAATGAATATAACTAGATTATCTATTCAAATGTAAACTTTTAAAAGAAATTAATTTAAATAAATTAGAGTTTGAGAATAACTACAAAGGAGCATTGTGCAAAGTTTGAAAGAGTAAAACCACAAAGGTAGCATGTAACTTGGTCACTTTGAAATTCTCAGATGAAATATCTGGAATGTCATGTGCTAACAGCTTGCCTGTCGCAAATACTCTTGTGTTTATTGTCATTTGATTATACTTCTTTTGCTTATTTTGTGATTATACTGATTTGTAGCTAGAGCTGGTCAGGGTAAAGAAGACTCTCAATGAAATGATTGAGCTGTTGTAAACAAAAAGTGGAATAATTGTATTTCAGATAAAAGATAGCTTCGATTTATTGATTTTACTTAAGTAGAACCAGGTCTTACAAATAGCTCATATAGGGCAGATTTGTAGCTCACTAAGAGAGTGCTTGCCTACCATGTAAGCGGTCCTGAGATTGTTTCCCAGTATTTTATATACAAGTATGGTGGGCAGAGATTTAATCCCAGAACTCAGGAGGAGGGACAGGAGAATCAGAAGATCAAGGTCACCCTCAGTTATATAGATAGCATTTTGAGGCCACCTTGAGTTACTTGTGACTGTATTACCCCAAAAATAGCTCATACAAAGATGATATATTTAACGCCAACTTAAATATATTTGCATAGTTTAAAGTATTTATTTATTTAAGTCCTTTTTCTATGATTCAAATAAAGGTTCTATACTTCGCATACAGTGAAGTGCTCGGGTTATGAAATAATCTCATTTTAGTTATTTGTTTTTATTGCACTGTGCATTATCACAGGATTTCTAACATGCCAAGCAAATTCTCTGCCAGTTTTACTTTAGATGTAAAGCATTGGAGTATTTCTACTCTAAAATGATTACAAACAAAACTCAATTTGCAGAACAAAAATCAGGAAGATTCAGAGCCAGGAGAAAATCATGCTAGAGGGCAAAGGCCACCAGAGGCAGTTGTTATTAGACATTGTCTTCAGCTAGTGTGTTCTGTCCGACCGTCTTCATGGAAAGAGTTCTCCGGGTTTGAAGATCAAGACTTTAGCCCAACTCTACTGTGATGCCATGGAGTTAGATTGCTTGTGCTATGGATCCCCTCTGATTTTGGTCTTTCAGAATTATAGTGGAGAGTCTTTTAAGACCCCTTGTCTCCTACCCAATACTCAGTTCTCTAAATCACGAGTCCTTGGCTGAGTTTGCCACCACCCACAAACTGCATCATGCTTCCTTAATTTTTAGGCATCCCTCTTGCCAACAGTTCCCAAGTGTTTTCTATGGATTGTGGGAATCAAGTGAGTGCTCATGTTCAGCACTCAAATTCTGTAGAAATCTTTGCTTAAAAAAAAAGATCGGACATTAAAACCTCAATGTAACCACATCTTACTGTGTTTGCATAAATGGGATTTCTTGTTCCTGAAGCTGGCCCTTTCCAAATACATTGTTTTCATGAGCTAAGCATTTATTGTTTGACTTTCTCCTTGACCTTTGGTTGTTGCTGTTACCAAGTGGCTGGCTAAAAGTGAGAGAGCCAGACAAATAAAACACATAGTGTCTCTGGGTTTAATAATTAATAACCTGATCTAACCTCACGGAATCCCATGGATGGGCCTTGTCATAGTGGTGGAGTTTTAGAAATTTTACCTGTATGAAAAGCGCGTGCGCTTTTGTCTCCACAGCAGGTGTCAGGAGTGGATAAATGATGTGCACTGCCCTGAGCCCTAAGGTTCGCAGCGGACCTGGCCTGTCTGATATGCATCAGTACAGCCAGTGGCTGGCCAGCAGACATGAAGCTAATTTGCTGCCGATGAAAGAAGACTTGGCCTTGTGGTTGACCAATCTATTAGGTAAGGTTATAAGATATCACTTGGTGAGCAAAGATAACAGAGTCTTGTGTGTTTTACCTCCTCTCATAGTGTCCTTCTCCCCAGCATGTGACAACCCCTGGGGAAGAAAGGCCTTCTTTATTGGGAATTTTCATCTGGGAAACCTGAAGCCTGTGGAAATTTAAATGAATTTCCCAGTGCCTCTCACATTAGCTGTGTTTCATATTCCAACGTCCTGCACTGGAATGTGGAAATCTGCGGTCAGGTTGCTTATACTGTTTCTGTTCTGCTCTGATTTATTTTTGACTCGTCAGTTTGCAGCTGACCGCTTTGACCCGTGCTTTGGTTCAGACCGCAGGCTCTGTGAGATCTGCCTCTGAACCTGTCTCCCTTGCCCTACTTTTACAGCGCACCTTCCCAAACTGCTGAGTGCCTGAACAGAGGAGAACGCCTATGCTTTGTCCAAATGGGCTGGCTGGAGTAATTTAGCTTTGAACTAAATTCTGTTTTCATTTTACTGTGCCTTTTTGAGAAAGCATTGTTGGTGAGGAAAGTGATACCACCTGCTAAAGATGCCGCCTTTGTGTGGTGAGTTCTGAGCGTGAAAGTGCAACCACAAAGGGCACAGATTTGTCATATTTAGCCACAGCATCACCAGTAACAGATCTCCCAGAGAAGAGTGAGTCAGAACTTTCGGCCCTGACCGAGTTCTTAGGATATAAGATTTGACTGTTGGATAAGCAGAGCTTGTGTAGTGCTGTGTGCCTGGCAGAGTGGAGCCACCCACTCTGTTTATCACTGAAGCAATACATACGTCACCTGTCTGGATGAATTTCTAGCAAAGACTGGGAACACATTATCCTTTTGCTTAGTTTTCTTGGTCATCCTAGCTTATATACCTATTTGCTTTTCTTTAAAAAGTCTTTTCTAGGACCTTGGACTTCCCACAGGGCAGGGAACCCTGACTGCTCTCCAGACTGGAGAGGGAGTGGGGGGAGGGGGAGCGAAAAGGGAGGCGGGGAGGGGGCAGAAATTTTTAATAAAAAAAAAAAAGAATAAAAAAAGTCTTTTCTATGGAAGGTACTTACTTTTTTCTTTGTCATGAATACCACATTTTGACCAAATTTATAGTTTAGCCAGAACTACCAAATGTGAGTATAGACAATCTACCATGTATAAAAGATTTTAAGAACTCGCTCCCCTCAGCAGGGTCCTCCACCCTACCGTGGGGCTATCTCTAACACAAGGAAAGAGACTTGCACTTGGTAGTAATTCATTCATGCCAAGTGGGAACTTTGAACTTCATCGGACAGAGGCAGTTGCTGCTTCCCTTGCTTTTGTCTTTCCAGGGCACACTAATGACTATGAAGTTAGTCATCTATTAACTTTCAGCCATCTGCTGCAGATATGAGTTGTCAATGGAATTGTGATGCAGAAATTCAAAGCATAGGTCTAGAGAATCTTGATGCTTGAACTCCAACTGCTGCTTCCTGGCCCTGAGTTCTTTGTGCATTGTTTTGAGAGATATCCACTGTGTCTGTTATAGTATTTAGCATGGTTCCTGGGTTATAGTTAATATGATATAAGTTATTGTTCCATTTATTAAGTTCATTGAATTGTTAGCTTTTTTATGGGACTTGTAAGGGGCTGAGTCAAAAACAACTCTGAAGAAGGTTATTAGTGAGTCATAATTGATAGTGTGATGAATAAGGGGCCGTGGAGATGTTAGGCCAGGAGGAAAGGGTGAGTGAGTACAGCATAGCCTGGTTACACAGGCATGACCCAGTGTTGGGTGACTAGGTCATCAAGGTGTTCTGTTTAGCCGATGTGATCATTCTCAAAGGGGTTTGATCAGTGTGAGCAGCCCAGCGCAGCCTCAAAGAACAGAGTCAGTGTGTGTAATGGAAAGATCTTTGGATTAGAAACCAGGAAACCTGGCTCCTCTCTGGGCATCAGGAGACCTGGCTCCAGCTTCTGGCTGTTCCACTGGTAGGAAACATGCCCAAAGTCACTCAGCTATCTGTTCTGGGCTTGCTGTCCTCAGCCGTAAATGAAGGAGTTGGAGGGGATGCTCTTTAATATCCTTTCCAGCTCCCCAAATCTAAGTTTCCAAGAAATCTGAGTCTGGAGATTTGGTTTGGGTTAGTTTAGGCCAACAATAAGCATAAATAAGCAAAAGAATTATAAATGAATGAAATTTTAAAGAATTAAGTTTATCTTGTTAAATATTTATTAGTAGTTGTAGCAAATAAAATTGATGGGTTAGGAAATTTTCCAACCAAGGGATACTAAAGGTATAAAAAAAGAATACTACCTTTGAGTGGATGGGAATTCACTTGAGGTAAACAGAGACTAGGCGTCAAGTCAGTACCTTCATGATAATTTGGAAGGGAGTCTAAATACTTGAGACTGTTTAAAATGGTAAAATATCTGGAGATAGGAAAATAAATGTTTTGTATAATAATGAGAGAATAACAGACGAATGGCTTTGTTGGATGATAGCTTTCTTACACGTAGTAGCAACTCTTAGCATGCACTTGCATTGGAAACATGAATGTAAAATTATTTACTATCGCAACTGGAATGCTCAGGGAGTTAGCTCGTGTACTCCTCTTGCAAAGGACGTGGGCATCATTCTCAGTACTCACACCATCTGCAACTCCAGTTCCTCTTTTTGCTTCTGTGGGCACTGCATACACGTGATACACATACATTCATACAAGCACACACATACGCATAGATAAAATGATAAATAAATCTTTAAAAATTATTATCTTTTGGCCAACCGAGAAATACTCACTTAACTTTACTCTATAGTGTGTTCTCTCTGTCTCTCTGTCTCTGTCTCTCTCTCTCTCTCGTTAGCTTTTATGTACTTGAAATCTGGAACTGTCTTGGTGACAGTCTCCATGTTGGTTCTGTTTCCATATAAAGCAGCAAATTCTTTAGTGAGACAGAAATGTAAAGCTTTTAGATGTTCAGTCTCATGGGTCATACTTGCAGAAAACTTTTAGGATATTTGTTTAAAATGTAACTTTTAAAACATGCTTTGTAAAGGAGAGTGAGTTGGTGATTATACTTGGATGTTTCTGATCCCACACATAAACTGTCAATTGAAGGTGAATTTTTTTGAAAGGACAATTGAAGATTATTTGAAAACCAAAAATAGTTTGATGGATAAGAGAATGCTTGTTTTGATGATAGACCAATACTCAGTTTCATGTCTCCAATGTGACATGTAATATTGTAATTTTCAGATACTGTACTCTTGCTTCATCAGTGGCAAAAATAAATACCATTGTAGAATGCTAGGCATAGAGAAAAAGATACAATAATAAACAGCTAGTCAAGCTCAGTTTATGTATTAATCCTGGCTTTCCTGTGGGAAGTGTGCTTGTTAAGTGACCAACATGACTGATGAGAAGGTCACTGTGTTATCTTCACCCACTCACGTGTTGGGTATCTTCCAGGAAATGCTGTCTGGAGCTATGCTGCATTTCCTGTTAGTAGACCAGTTTTATGATAAACATTTAGAAAAGACAGACCTGGGACCGGAAGATCCCACCATCTTCAGTAAGCAGGTGTCTTGGGCTGCCCCTTGCATGGTGGCTGCTGTTACCACTTGCTGACAGGTCTGGTCTACATTAACCACACAGGTTCTGTCTGTACTGTAAGCTACAACTCTGTTCCTTTTACTCATGAGCCGAGTATTACTCACCCATTATTTATGTCTGTACAATATACCATAAATCCAAAGGCTAATGCCAGCAAATCTTGAGAAAAACCTTAGTATTGCTTTGAGCATGGAAAGTGTTAGTAAACGAAGATCCCCAGGCAATAACAGTAATCCATGATGTAGAATTAAGTGCATCTGACTCTATGATTGATAGCAGGACTTCTGAGAATTGTTTTGGTCTTACTTTGAGACCAACGTACTAACAAATTGCTCATCTCACTTGAGCATTTCTATATTTTAAAAATGATAATCTCTCTTTGTCTTATATTAGTTTTGTTTAATGATAATAAAAGAAGCTCCTGGTACTGTATTTTAAAGAAAGACTTTTGTGTTAAAGAAGAATTGCATCAAGACGTATTTGCATCAAAAAGAGCTGACATTTTTATTAATGGTTGTACGTCTTTAGGATGAAGACTTATGTGTTTTTATCTATCTAGGGATTTTGAGTAGTTTCCAAGTTGCCCCAAAAGCTGTTATGCCGAAACGATTTTACTGATATTTAGAAAATATATTGATAGTTGATACTATAACAAATTTGCTTTTCTGACTTATATACATGCAGGGAAAAGAAAATTTAGTGGTTTCCAGTTTAACATGAGTGATATGTGTTTCACTTTTTCAGTTATTTCTAAAAATCTCCTTCATTTTTATCTATTAAAAAGTAAACATCTATCTGTTGAAGCTAATGCTGTTAAACACAGCTGCTATCCAGTAGGCTTGGGACAGGAGATTCTTCCTTTATTGGGTTCTGAGATCCTCGTGTTCTTGGTGTAAGTCAATACAAGCCTATCTCACACTCTTCAAAATTCAGTCTTGAAGATACCCAGTAATTTGAGATAAGGTACTCATTATCAAAATGAGTAATTCTTAATAATTTGTATTTGGCTAGAAAGTGAGTCATGTTTGGTTTCTCTACTGTTAAAATAAATTGAGGTTGAGGTGCAGTGGGGTGTTAGAATGGAGTTTGGTACTGTGGAATCAAGATTATCTTTAGACATTGAAACTATAGCAACTTTCTTCTGCTGTGTTTCAAATCAGTCATTAGAACAAGGCTGAGTGGTCTTCTCAGTCATGTTCCAGGCTCCTTGTTCGTTCTCACAGACGAAGTCCAAGATCATTTTTTCCTAAAAAGCTTTCTGTGGTGTTTCTATGTAAGAAAAGAAAAAGATCAAATTTCATTTGGGAGAATGCTCTGATTTAGGAAATAGTCACTGTGTGTTCAGTAAATACTTAAGTTGTCAAGCCAAAAGGCTGAGAGCATAGACTTTGAACCTAGAAGGCCTGGGTCGAA